CATTTACACCCTTTCTTGTTGACAGTTTGATGTCAGAGATCTCATATCAAAGACAACTGGGCCTAAACACAATCAAACCTTAGTGACTTTCCAAATTTTCATTTATTTTGTTTGAGCAATCACCATATCACATAGCCATGAGACACTATGTAGTTAGAAAACAGGCAGATGAATTTATAGGTCAACTAGATATAGCTGGTTGCTTTAACATGTTTTTCTTTATGCCATTCTAGCAAACAATGCACTTGTTAAAAACCTAATTAATGCTAGAACGGACAAACAAACCAACAAAAGAGTCACTTAGAGGCACTGTTCACAGCAGTTAGAGATGGAAGAGCTCCATTAGGTCATCTGCCTCTTCCCCTAATTGTACGAGGCTGTTTTCCTCAATCAGAAGGGAAGAGTCAGTAGACTGTGAAGACAGAGGAGACAGCACTGGGGAGTGACAGAGCAGCAAGAGGGTCAGGGGAAGGAAAATAAACAAGAACAGTGTGAGCAGTGGGCTTTGAAATCAAGGTTAAAGCACATCACATTTGGAGGGCATTTGTGAAGAGAATTCTTTAGACTACTTGCCTGTTTCTGCAAAGAAAATAGCAAGGAGAATTGTATGGATGTGCAGGAAATGTATTAAGGCAAAACTGACTATTGAATAATGGGACACCAAGCTGAGGTTACGGCTGCTTTATGTCCTGTATTAGATGGGACTGGTGGTACATTTTCAACAGTTTTCAGCTGGGAAGCATCGCACTTTAGACTCCATGATCGTGTAATTCACAGCTCATATGGTGAATTTTTCTGAAATACTTGACAAAATAAATTCAGCCTGAAGCTGAATAGATCCTTGGTCAGATTCTCCTTAGAGTGAGTCTCACAAGTTAATTTTTCTATTTCTGGTGGACTCTTTTCTTCCTTTTAGCCTTCTTGATAATTCAGTTTGTCAAGCACATATTCTTTTTTGATTTCAGAAGTAGTTCTCCTTCACCAGGTGAACTGGTACAAGCTTTCTTGTACAACAGTTTAGGCACTACTGCACTGATCCAAACCCTGATTGACAGTATTTCCATGAGAGGTTTCTCACCTGGTGCTGACTGCAATGGATTTACTTTGGCAACATTGTCCTGCATTTATTTAATATCATGAAACAAACTTAGTTTGCTTTTAAAGTTGTGATATAGCTGTAAATATTGCTAAATCAAAATCTCTGATGGATTAGCTGAGTATTTCCATTTCCTTATGTTCTCTGTTTTGAGGTTTTTCTAGCCAGTAGATTGTGCTCACATAATCTGAACCATCTTTATTTAACCATAATAAAAATCAGCGATGCTTGTTTTAAGAGAAGCATATTTCAGTTTTACTCAAACGACTTAAATTGCTTTAAATTAAAGCAAATAAACTACTCAAGACAGAGATAAGTGCCTGCACAGTCTTTTGGACTAATTTAATGATAATCTGTTTCAATTCAACCTTACTTTATGCAGTGCAGCTTTCTTAAACAAAGGAGCTGCTGTATGTTCTAAGCCCTGATGCCTTCATTCTGATGCAAAATTATCATTAAATAGTGTGGAAATTTTCTTTTCCTGCTATGCTAGTTGCCTTGTTTATTTTTTTATTTGTGCTCTTATTGCACAGCCTCATTGTTTAGCCAACATTTGTGCCAGCTCAAGGTTGAAAAAGCTGCCACAGTGAGGTTATAATACCAAGTTGACAAGGCATCTGGGCAGATATATGTTGGGAAGAGTAGTTTTAAAAATATATTTGAAGTGCAAAAATGAACACAAATAAGAATTCTCACCAAACTAAGTAAAAAGCTGAATTGTCTCTATTTTTTGTTCCTTTGGTCTTGTTCCCCCTCCCCCCTCCCCAGTATGATCTGTGCATACACTGGGGTGTATCATTGGAGTTGCTCTAGAATTTGTGCTGTACATGGTCTGAATTCATTATTAAAGACTGGCAAGCCCATACTTGGAGAATGCTCCAGTCTAACAATGATACCTCAGAGATCTCTGTTTGGCTTGATAAGTGGTTGGAAATATAATTTAATAATTAGAAGATTTTTATATCATGCACTTCCTCCCATGACAGCTGAGGAAAACATTCCTTGCTGTTAGATTCCATAACTGAGCTTCTGAAACTCTGCAAGTCTTTAACAAATGTCATTAAATAAATATTTTTGAGTTGATATTAAAAATAGTATTATATGTCTTGGCCCTACAGCAATTTTTAGGCTTTCTCTCTGTCTGACACTGGGTGGCTTATTGTATTTAAGCTGTGAACATCGTTACTGTTTTTCCTGCAAGTTCATTTTTTATGTGGTGTGGCTGGCAAATTGTATTAACATTTCCTAGGGACAGATGAAAGCTGCTTTGAAGTCATGGAAGTGTTTTTATACGACTGTAGCAATACATAGAATATATGGTATTTGTGCACATTGGACTCTATACCTGAGAAGAATGGCAGCTCTGCTTTGAGTGACAAGGTGCCTGTCATCATACACCTGATTTGGCTTGCCTGTGGGCAGTACTGTGCTGTAAGTCATGTACTGAATTTATTGATCTTCTAGGTTCCTGCAATCTGCTAAGTATTCTAATTTAATTGTCCTTCCAGTGTAAATTAGAGCATGAAAGATTTCTCAGACACTTAGTAGACAGAAGCAAGCACGTGAAAAAGCAATAAGGAGCTGGTTTAGCTTGGAGAAATGTCTTGGAAAGGACTTTCATCGTGGAAAACTTTTTTTCCATATGACTTCTGACTGAGAGGAAGCTCCCACTCCATCTTTCCTAGGGTCTGATGATGGCAATAAGATAGGATAGTGTTTGTTTCTCTGCATGGTGGGAGATGGAGTTGCCTCAGTAGAAGGAACTTTATGCAGTCATAACTGCATATCTGTGGCTTATTTGCTTCTCTAGGTTCTCATACTCCATGAATAGCCATAGCCTGCCAAAAAAAAAGCACTGTCAGCATGAAATTGGGTTTTCAGCTGTTCCCTGTCACTGGTAATACTCCACCAGGGCCCTGGTGCTGTTGATGAAATTCTCACTCAGCGTGGAGACATCAGAGCTGTCTGTGGGTGACTTTGATAAGCACACACTGGTGAAGCCCAAAAAGGTGACTAAGGATTTTGTGAAACTGCAGATCTTGAGTTGTTTTGAAAAGCAGCCAATGTGATTTCCTTGCTGAAAGTGTGAGCTCTGTAGAAAATATTTTAAATTTATTTTTTTACTCCTGCTTTCTGCCAGGGAAAGTTTTCCATTCCCAGGTGGTAAGAGTTATGAAACAAGAGGGAAAATGAAGTGAGTGCAGAACTGATTAAAGAATTGGTTTTCTTTGGAAAAGGGTGACAAACTGCATGGCATGTAGAGGTAACAGCAAATTCTGTTTTGAGGACTGGTGTCATTTTTATATAAAATGATCTTGTATACTATAGATTAAAGAAGTGCAGTTTGCAGCTTAAGTTTGCAGTGATGAAGTTTCTGATAATCTTCAGTTCCTGTTTCATAACTGAATATAAGCCTGTGAGATAGTGGAGTGGCTGAAACCTAAGCACAGCAGTTTGCCAGAGCATCTGGCAGAATCACAGCTCCTAAAACAGATAGTCCCAAACAAGAGCAAAGGCATTGGTGCTCCCACTGGGTGTGTCAAAAGCCACCAAGTGTGAAGGCACTGGAAAAACAGTCAGACTCATGTAGTCGAGGAAGCTTAGGGAGGGGATGGGCCTATTTTAGGAGCAGAGGGTCCTTTCAGCTGAAGGATGAGTTACCTGACTGCAGACAAGAGGTAGATTCTCTGTTTTGAAGAAGCTGTGAGATGGCAGGAGGATCCCCTAAAGGTGTAACTAGAGGTGTGGTAATAGTGAAGTTGATTGTGTGCTCTTGCAGGTTAGTACCTGGGCTATGGGATCTTATGCCTGTAACAGAATAGCAGAGACAGCAGGGAAAGCAAAGTGGCACTGACTGCAGCATCATGATGCTAAATGATGTTGAACATATATGTCTAAAGCAGTTTGAGGACCAAATGCAGAAGCTGAATGTTCAGGTTTGGGAAAGCTCCAGCAGAAGTGCAGGTGACAGCAATTAAGAACACCACCTCCAAAAGTGCTGGTGTTGCATACACAATGGTCCTTCACACAGAGAGGAGACTAACCCCTCTAAAGCTTGACTCTTCGTGTAAGGGTTAGATTGGGAGTGAGGACTCATGTGAGGGAGCTCTGTTATCTAGCTGTGTACATTGTGATGACTTTTGTAAACACTAAAGGAATTGCAATGATCATTATGGCATTGAGATCACCTATAAAAGTAAAGACAGAATTACTTATCACCAGCTCTTTATTTTAGTAGTATTTCACAGTAAAGAAATGACATATAAACCCCACTTTTTAATCAAAGTTTAATCTAGTGTAATGCTTTACACTTTTTTTCTCAACAGGCTTTACAGGAATGATTAAATCAGTGTGCTATTTCAGTATTTTTGAAGGAAAACTTTGAAATACTGTTCTATTTCCAATTCAGAAAAAGCAATTACATACACCATAGAGAAATCCTTGATAGCTCTCCCACACAGCATAGGAAATAATGTCATGCTTATGTAATTGCACAGCAACTTGATACAGTCTTGAGTGACTTTTGGGGAGACATTGACCCAGTGGCTCAAGTGTATCTTCAGGATAACACCAGTGTTTTAATGGATGCAGTTTTAAATCTACCATGCTATTAAACACAAAGGGCAAATTTATGCTTGGCATATCTCCCTTGGCAATGTTGGCACTAAACCAGGGAGTAATTGTCCCTATTGCATTTAGCAACATGTTTCAGATTTATAAGCCATGGAGCCATTAAAATATGACTCCATCAATTAGGAAGTAATTGTGGTATGTCTTTCTAGTGCCGAGGGATTAACACAATTTAATCTCAGTGTGGTTAACGAAGGCAGTTACTTGCTTTTAATATGAGTTAAATCTGTAAAACATAATGGCTTCATGGAGAACAGGATCAGTCCCATGGCACATGCCCAAAAATTGGGCTGTTGACTTCACTGAGTTCAATGGGAACCTTGAACTGAAGGGCAACATGATTGAGCTCCCAGGGCCTGCTCCTGTAGGTGGTCTTTGCTTGAAATTCACATAGGAGTTTCCTATCTTTAAAAAACATCATGAAAGAGAATATTAAACTGTATCCAGCTTTGGTTCTCTCTGTGTTGATGCCAGCAGTTGCTTCGGGCAAATTCATAAAGCAGAGGCAGAAAGAAACTGAAACATAATGGTTGAGTATTTGTCAGTATTTGCTGTCACCAGTGATTATTATTAGAAAATCCAACTTGGCATACTAGATATTAGACAAAAGACAGCAATGGAGTCCTTAAGAAATTCTGGTTATTAATTCATCTGCAGAATATGTAGCTAATATAAACTGATGATGTCATGAAGACTTTCCTGGATTTTGCCACTGAATTTGGAAGTATTTGAAGAATTACAGGAAAAGCAAAGACTTACTAGTATCCAGTGTCCCTCAGTTTGGGGAACACTTTAGTCCTGCTTAGACTCTGACACTGGATGCCACGGTACACTCTACCAAAGTCTTGTCTTTCTGGTGTAGAAAACACTAAGTTTTAAGGCAAGCAAAACACATTTATAAGAAAAGGTAAAGCATATTGGTACATTGTGATTTCTCTTGGCAGAACCTCCTTTAGTGCATAGGAAGGATCCTGTAGCCTTGTTTGCCTGTCTCACTGTAGAGGGTTAGAAAGAGGAACAGAAGGGTTAAAGCTGATGGTGAGAAAAGGCAGCAGGAGGGATGCTGTGGCCTCCCTGGGGCCTCAGGGTGGGAGGGGAGAGGAAGTGAGTTCTGCTGTGGCTGGGAGTTCTGCATTTTCTTTTGTTGGTAGCAAGCCTGTGATCTGTTGAAGGCCCACTGAAGGTACTGTTGGCTTCATTTAACACCATATCCCCAGGATCTGCAAAAGGCGAAAGAATCATGTTGTTTGCTTTGTGTGTGTCATGCCTCACAGCCTGTGAGCCCTGTGGTGCCAGCCCTGGCCCCACAGTTTGGTGGCTGTGCAGGACTGTGCTGTCTCCCTGATACTGCCATCCACCCTGCATGCAGCTCACTTGGTAGGGTGAGATCTGCTCCCCGGGTAAGAGCTTGGGATCTCACAGGCTGACCATGGAAGGTTTCCTGTGCACCTTTCCTTCAGGGAATTATACCTGTGATCTGGGGCTTTGCCACCTGGTCTGGGAGTTCCCACCCAAGATTCAGCAAGGCTGAGGGGTGGCAGGGTGAGGTAACCACCATGTGATGAGCAGCCAGTGCAGGCTCTAGCTAGGGCTTTTTGCATGTAAGGTTGAAAGTCCTTTGTCTGTCAGCCCTAGCAGTAACATCCCTTAGTGCCTCTGTCTTTTCTTCACCCCTTTAAACAGCCTCTCTGACCAGCACATCTGTTTCCCCATGCCCACCCAAACTGGGTTCATCTCAGCAGCTGGCACTCCCTTCTGCCATCCTCTCCATTGCCAGCTGTGCTTCTCTTGTACCATTGTCCTAGCCATTCCCTTCATGGCCCATCACCTAAACCTCTCTCTTCTGGTGCCTTCTTCCCTCTCCCAAACCTCTGCCCTCACTTCACCTTTTCAGCAGTTAAAGGCTGCTGAGAAACAAGAAATGCTGTCAGGGCTGTACTCGTATATTTTGTTCCGTGCTGTTGGGTGCAATATGGATGTAGAGGCCACTGGCAGGGAAGGTCTAGCCAGTGCAGGAGGGTCCACAAAGATGTTGGCTTGATGCTGTGGGAACTGGAAATCTTGTTTTAGGTAAATGGCTTGCACTTGTCTGTTGTCTCTGTTGCCAAACACAAGGATGTCTAGAACGAGCACCTTTTTTCAGTTCTTTTCTAGCTTTGGCAGTGGCAGAAGCCTGAAGTTCAGCATAATAGACAATTCATAATATTATTTATTCCTAGAGGTGGGCATCACTGTCTCCATTTAATGAAGGATTTAACCAAACCAATTCCTTCCTCTTTCCTTCCTTTCTGCCTGCTTAGGCTTCTCTGAGAAAAGGCAAAAGCAAACCTGTTAGGTGGATGCTTCAGTAGAGAAACTTGGCTCTGATGGAATTGTGTAAAAACACAATTTATTTATTCAGCTTTGAATGAAAGACTTTATATATTGCCCATCTCCTTCTGCAGTTCAGAGTGATAATCTAATCTTGGATGTTGCCTCTCCTGTAAAGTCCCTAAATACAGTTGTGCAAAATAATGTAACTGAAGTAAAACTAGAAGCCCCAAAGGTGGAAAGTTGTGCTACGAAACTACCTCAAAGTTCTTGCTAACATATTTACTGATGACAATGTCTGATAATTCAATACAGTCTGTCCCTAAAATGAATTAACTGTGTATCAACTGTTCTGCAATGTGCACTGGATTAGATTTCCTCTCGTTCTGTTTGTTCCAGGGCTGTCAGAATGAGTGCACGGCCGGAGGGTGTTCAGGAGAAACAGCAAAGGATACGACAGAATCTTTCAAGGTATGCTGTTTGTTAAGAGATGAGTGTCTGAAGCATTTCAGTGGCATTTCGGCCAGTATCCGTAACATGGAAATGACTGTTGTGCAGGTGTTCATAGCTACTGACATGCTTGAATGTCATAATTCTGTAAATAATTCTGGAAGTTGCATTTGCTGAGTGTGTTTTCAATGTAGAAATGAAGAGTGTTACAAGAAGAACTTGTATTTATTACAGTTTCAGTTCCAGCTAAAAGGTTAGTAGTCATTAACATTAAAATGGTATAGGTGACTTTAATTTTAACTCTTACCTACTTCCAGAGCAATAGAAATAAAGAGTGAGTCCCCCCATTAAGGTCTCTTTCCAAACAACATCTCCGTGGCACTCTGTTATTTGTTAAACTTTGGCATTCTGAATGGTGTTCATAAGAAGGTTTTTCCATCTGGTCCCGAAGTTGCAGAGCTAAGGATCTCGGAAGGACTCCAAAGCACTCTGCAGCTCTGGCACATGATCAGCACTCCACAAGCAAACAGGGCTATGATAATAAGGAATGCTGAGCATCTGCCAGAAACTCACATGAAATTGCATCCCTCTCTTTTTATTTAAATCTTATGCTTAGAACTGAGCTCAGTTAAGATATCATTCTCTTCCTCTGCTTCTTTCCTGAATGCAGTGCTAGTAACTAAGCTCATTTTAAACACTGTATGGACACAGATGACAACTTTCAATGTTCTTTTGGAAATGTAAAGCCCATCAGCATGTGCTCCTTTGAATTCTACTTTTTGTCCTCACTCCCTTTTTTCTTGCCTTTTATACTTCTTTTGCCGTTATTCTATGCCACACATCTGTAATTCTTTTTCTCCCCCTCTCCCTGCTTTGCAATCTTTCAAAAGCCTCATCTGTATTTTGCAGACATATAAAATTAGTACCCAGAAGAAGTGACTTCACATGTGCTTTCTCAGCAGTTCCCTCCTTTTATTTCTGGCTGTTGTCAGTAGTGCATGAGATGAAATTATCATGATACACTTTGTCATATTCTTCCTGGTTTTTTTGGGCAGTGTCACTGCTGCGCAATCTCCTGAACTATGCTAAACTAGTTACTTCCCTTTTTAGTTGCCAGGCTTTAACCAGATATGGAAAATAAGTGCTGCAATAATTATGTTGGACTCCTTGATATGGTTTATTCTGATGCTGGTCTCATTGAAAACAGCAATGAATTCTTGAGCATGGCTGCAGAATTTCTCCATGTAGCAACATGCCATTTAATTTCTATTTCCTCATTCTCAGCCCTTCCCAGTTCTTCTCTTCCTCATTTCTTTGCATTGTGTCTCCCTGGCAGTTCTGCCCTAGGAGGAAGATTTAGGATGACTTTTCAGCCAGACGGTCTGATTTGGAAAATGTTGACAAACTCAGGCATGCAGCCAGTTTTGAAACCCCAGCAATTCACAAGTATGGAGTGCAGGGCTGTTTTGTGAATTCACTTTCAATAAATAGACAGGATAAATCTCAGCAGAGTCATTCAGTAGAGTGTGCTGGTGTATTTAAGAATAAGAACTGCTTTACAGAGAGGAGACTCTGTGTAACCACTCTGAACTGTTTCCCTCACTCATTAAAGCAGTCCAGAAAGAAGAGTGACAACACACTCTGACAGTGCTTGGGTCATAGGTGAACTGGGCATGAACTAAAGCAGACTTAAGGCAGATTTAATTATACTAACAGTCAAGCAGGTGCCCTACAAAAGCTTCAAACATTGGGTGGCACAAAGCTGGATTAAATCCAGGTTCCTTTCCATTGATACTTGTATGTCAGCCAGAATAGCAAATCATTGTAGTGGAGAGGCTGTGTGAGGGGAAAAATATATTAGCAGGTGGGACAGATGGTCATAAAGGGAATAATGCTTAAAAAAAAGCAGCTGGCTCAGGCTGAAGTCTAATTTATAAGTCCATTCCTGCCTTATGGCTCTGTTTCTGAAGACTAGCTGCAGTTACCAGAAAGGGGTAGAGATTTCTAGAAAATATTGTGCTATGGGAGGTATGTGTATAGAAGTTAAGGTGGGAACATAGGTATTGGTTGTAGTTTCATGCATTATAGTAATTATTTCCAGTCTCTTTTACTTCATCCTCAAATTAAGAAGAAAAACTTTATAAATGACAGAAAAACCAGCACCAGAAAATGGCAAGTAAAATAGCCTGGATTCATTCTAGGGAACTTCACAAACATTTATATGGAAGACACTTACAGTTACAATTTCAGAAACTATAGCTAATAATATTTCAAAGGAATGACGTTGACCCATGGGGCTGACTGTGCTGAAGAAAGCTGCAATTTTGTGCCAGTAGTCTAAGCAGTCCAAGATTGTGGGAATGCAGAAAACAGGGTATGGTTTTGGTTAAAGCTTACATAAAACATATTGTTTACAGTGGATCATGCCCAATGTTTGAATGCCAGATTAGCCCTCTGAAGACATTTCTTTTTAGAATGCAGTGCTGCCCTTTTTAGGTGGGCTGAGCTGCTTTGAACTGTGCTGCAATTTGTGCCTGACTTGGAAAGGTGGACTTGGAGAGTCCCTGAACACTGGAGGGGAAGGAATGAATGTTACCTCCAGTTTCTAGCAGGCAGTGAGCCCCTTGCCAACTGATTGCTGTTTTCCATTCTCATGGACTTCTCTTAAGGCATTGGCTCAGAATGGCCCTTTGGTTAATTTTAACTGCTGCTGAACTGCCTTAATTTCACTCACTTCTGCAGTTAGAATTCCCATCATGACAGGTCTGTGATACTCAATGTGTGGTGTTTACAGTTGACACATGCCCAGTGACCTTGGAACAGCTAAGAAACATTGAAGGAAATAGTGACTATGCTGGAGTTTCCTGTATTATAGAAAGTGTCAGAGCTCCAGGATTTATCTGCCCAGCTCCTTTCACAAGAGTGATCTTTCTCCTTGCCCCAGCTGCACATATTTGCATATTTGTTCATTTAAATATCTGACTGATTTGTGACCAAAACCTATTGTCAGCATTGGATCTCTACGAGGGGAATGTGAAGCCAGTAATGGAAAGTGCAATCATGCTCTGTACTGCTGAGTGGTGTTTGGAAAGTCGAGTCAAAAAATGCACATATGTGGTTTTGCTCTTACACATGTCAGTAATAACCATGAAATAGCACACTGTCATGTCTAAGGCACTTAATTTTTATGATTAAAAATCTGGTAATGTCTTTAATGCCTTCATTCTGCTTATTGTACTGTCAGGAGACAGGATGAATGTTGTTGGACTTTGTGTGTATTAGTTCTGACTTTGAGTTCATAAATCTTGGTCTTATGAAACTAAAGCCATCTATGACTGCAGTTTCTTTCCCTCATGTTATCAATCCATATCCAGATAGACTAGATTATTTTTCCATAACCTTTTGTCATGGAGTACATTTTTCTCTTTGAGACTGATACAAGGAGCACTTTAAGAAGGTCTTACCCACTCCTATTAAGTTACTCTGTGTTTCAGTGATCTGAAGTTATTGGAAGATTAGTTTGCCATCTTATTGGTGACAAGTTCAGTTCTTTTGTTTTAATTTTTAATGGCCTATTAAATGTTTCCAGAGAATACTGGCTAGTCTGCTACACCAAAGCAGAACAAAGTAGCTGTAGTTTCCAAGTGGATCTGGATTGATTTGCTAACATGAAGATCTGTGGTGGAATGAAGAATGTTTAAGTGGAGCTTCTGTATCTGAATGGCTCCTCAGGCTACTCTAAGTAACTCTGAGTGCTCCCTCATGTTTTTTTGCAGACAGATCCAACCTTCCCAGGCTCTGAGCCAGTGGGATGTGAGCCCATGGCACACTGGATGCTATATAGGCAGGTTAGTGTAGTGCTGTGCTCAAACTGATAATCCCTGTTGGGCTCTTGGACTTGTGAGACAGAGTACAGTGCTATGCTAGTAAGTCTGCATGACTTCCAGTTTGAAGCTAGCTCATGTCTAGCCGTGTGAGATGCTGGATATACCGAATTTTCTAGCTGTCACTGTGCTAGGTGTTGTACAAATTAGAGCCCAAAGATTATTTCCACTCCATAGGTATAACCTACAAATAAACCCCAACCAGAATCTCTGACAGTTTTTCCACAGAATCTAAACTGTAGTGTATTTTACACCAGAAGAAACTGAAAACTTATTTCTAATGTAGGCATTTGTGGTCCAAATTGAGGGATTGCCAATGAAGGTTTTACATTACTGTGATTCATAAACATATTTATACTAACAAAACCCTAGTGGGTCTATTGTGCTAGGTATAGTGGGATATAAGATTCCTTACTCTGGGCTTTGAGAGAGGGGCCAATTAATTTTGATGTAATAGACAATTTTAAGCTCTATTTTATATGTGAAAATGTTGCTGACAGTGACAAAGAAAAAACAATTCTCCAACCCTTTTTTTTTAAAGATTTTTTCTTGCTTTCCCTCCAATGCTTAGACTGAAAATATATAACATGCAGAACAGTCTAATTTTTGAAACATCTCTTAAAAATCTGAGCTAATTGACTCAGATTGACTCACATTGGCACATTAGTGTGACGTGGTGAAAATTTCACTCCTTGAAGAGTTTAGGAAGTAAATTGCACTTTTCTTGTGTCTTCATTTTATATGAGCAGTAGGTAAAGTTTCTGACATGCTCAGAACATGGATCAAGGAAACACTGTAGTGTTTTTAGAATGAGGGAATACACGCATTATAGTTACCACATTGTGTACAAGGCTAACAAATACAAAGCAGTTGACATGGTTTGTATGTTTTTAATCTCTTCCTCCCCAGCTTGTCCTCATTTGTCATTTTCTACTGACATTGATAAATTATTTACCTGGCAAAGCATGTGGGCACTTAGTGAGGCTTTTTGTCATGTTGCAGCTGTTGATTCTTCTGTGGTTTGGGGGTTAGGAGGGGATGTTAGGAGAATGCCCTGAAATGCCATTTTAAATTCTATATTAAACCTCATTTTTAACTTTGTTCAAGCAGCAGATTTCTTTAATGTGAAGTTATATA